TATATGGATTTCTTTTAAATATATGTAATTTCTGAATTCTGTAGTTTAATTTATACTTTACCTGTATCTCTGATCTGGAAATGTCTTATGAATCATAATTGTGCTGCTGCAGATTGTGTTTTAAAGAAATCATTCAGGAAATAAGAAGTTAGTTATCAGATACCTTTCAGATACAATGGTCATACTTGAATATTTGAAAATTTGATGAAATCTGATTAGTCAATAGTATTTCAAGTTCATATTTTGCATTTTAATGTGTATGTTAAAGTCTCAAACCTTAGATCACTATCTAAAGAAATGTTATCTATGTGAAATATACACTGTGAATGCAACATTTTGTTTGTATCCTAGGGATCTCTGTAGCAATATATATATTGGATATAGCATGTTAGTAATTTGTAATATATTTTGGAAACTGTGTTGAAATTCATATATACTGTTTTAAAGATATTCTAAAAATCCTAAAATATTTAGTTTTTGTAAGGTGTGATATAAATGTTACTTTTTGAAACTTGTATAAAATACTAGTTAAAAACAGGTTATAAAAGGAGATAGTATGAAATAAAATATGTTCTCCTGTGGAGCTTCTTTAAATTGGAGATATGACTAACGAAATATCAAAGTGGAAAGAGTTTGGATATTGACATTTAGATGTAAACTTATCTGCCTTTAAGTTGGTAGACTTTCTGCATTTTTACCGTCTGGCATTTCAAGATGGAAAAAATCTTCAGTTTTATTAAGTAATATTAAGTGCATTGATGTTTTAAAGGGTCCAAGATGAGTGTTCGTCAGTTTCTTCTTTCCAGTCTTCTGACCATTTTAAAAGACTTCATGTTTGTTTCGATGGGATCAATAACTTTATGGACATTATGGTTTATTTATTGGAGTGGTGATCAGAATTTGAGAGTACCCACAAAAATAACCCAAAGGTTGAAAACAGAAACGAATAGATTCAAAAACAACAATTTTAAAGGACCAAGTCTGACTTCAGTTCCAACTCAAACTAGTATTGACGAAGATGTGAAGTCATCAGAAGGGAAACCAAAGTTTAATTACAAAATATCTGTATTTCATAAAAGTTTACCTGAATTTAAAGCCGTGAGGAAAACTATTATTGATTTGAAACCTATTGTTATTGAGGAGAAATCTACAGGTTTGGACATCAGCAGAGAATGTACTGTGCTGTTTTGCTGTGTGTAGTTTGCATGATTAAAAGGTAAAATTACCTCCTGTGTTATCTCCCATGTTTACATATGTCTTAACTAAAACTAATGGTGTTTATTCATATGCATGTTTGATACATTCACATCTGTATGAATTTATAACCAGGATTTGCTTACTAATGCACTTCATTCAGAAACATTTGTAACAGATGCATAATTTGGGGCACTTATACATTTTTAGACAATTTTATAATTGTATCAACATCTCAATCGGCTTTTCTATTAAAATCATGTTTTGTCACAGATTTGTCTTTCCTTCAATAACTTCATATGACGTGACTCATTTGGTAAAAGAACAACAATATTTTTTTTACAACTGCATTCACACAATTTTCAATATTTGTTAGAGGAAGAAAAATACATTTTTTATGATAATACAAAATAAAAATCTATATTTTAAACGAATCTTGATGGATGTAAATCATAGTGCTTGGCAAGATATTTATTTATTTAATTATTTTAATTAATTGAAATCATCCTAAGGTACAGTTAGTTTAAAAAATACAAGTATTTATTTTAGATGTTATAATAATTTAGGGTGTGTATAGAAACTGTTTG